GAGCCAGTTAAATGTTGGCTTTTGTTCCTTCACAGATTTTGGTCATAAGCTGCCAGTTTACTCTATTTTTAACCAAAGCAAAAGTCCTCTGTTTTCCCACAAGTTGAGGAAGGCTGAGATGCTGACGGTAACAGTGGGAACAGCCGGGGGGCTGCTCCTCTGCGGAGGGGACGGTGGTCCGGCAGCGGCTCCGGGGGGCACCATGCTGAAGCCCTGTGGGAGCTGGGGCAGCACTTGGCAGGAACTAGATGCACCTCCCGGGGGCACGTCCTGCCCAGGAGCCAGGACCTTTCTTGGGGACACGGGGATGGTTTTTGCTGCCGAACCTCTGGGGCTGTGGCCCCTTCTCCCCTGTGAGCTCAGATGCCTGACCAGGTGGCTGGGGGCCAGCACCTTCGACCCTCACTGTGCCTGGAGGTGGTTCTGATCCCTGAGGAAATGCAGATTTTCAGGCCCCACAACTGGAGCCATGTCTGACTTTGGGAGCCCAGAAGAAAGAGCCTCGGATACCCAGTTCCTGACCAGGGCCTGCCATTTCCAGCTGTGTGTTTTTGCAGACCACTTGTGTCATTAAAACAAAAACAGGGGACTTCCCTGGCAGTCCAGTGGTTAGGACTCCATGCTCCCAGCTAAGGGGCTTCAATCCCCGCTTGGGGAACTGCGATCCCACCTGCCTCGCAGCGAAAAATGAAAAATAACCAAAAAACAGGGACAACGGTCAGAGCCTTGAGAGGCTGCCCAAGGATGAATCGTGCAGCCCAAGGAGGGCCCACGAGGCTTCTGTGGAAACAGAGGCACCTTCTCTCAAAACCTTCTGCGTCATTTCTTAGAAGTGTGGTGGTTTCAGCATGACCAGCTCTGGAGGAAACAGACCGAATGTCACAACCTTCCCAGGTTGCCAAACCCTGTGTCCTTGGTGCTGCTGTGCTGTCGCCAAAGATTCCATATTCATTTCCTGATGCTGCTCTAAGACATGATCACAAATGGAGTGGCTTAGCGCCACACAGCCCTAGTCTCTTATGGTTCTGGAGGTCTGAATCTAAAATGAATCTGTGGGCTGTGGGCTTCCAGAGACTCTGTAGGGAGTTGGCTTTCTGCTGAGGGACGCTGGAGAAGGAAACAGATCCCTTCCCACAGCCTCTATCTTCAAAGCCGTCAATGTTGCCTCTCCTGCCTTCAAGTCTCCCTGCGCCTCCCTCTTTTAAGGACACTTTTGATGATGTTGGGCCCATGGAGATAATCCAGGATAATCTCTGCATCTCAGGATCCTTAAGTAGATCACATTTGCAGAGTTCCTCTTTCCATTTAAGGTAGCACGTTCATAGGTTCTGGGGATTTAGATTACAGATTTCCTGGGAGAGGTCAGCATAGTAGTCAGTCTCACTTTAGTCTGAACAAGCACAATCAGGTATTATTGTGCTTTCTTCTGAGCTCAAGGAAGTCCTTCTAAAGGGAAGGGCTTGGTCGTGGTCCTCTGGAGAGGCAGGAGAGAAGGACACGCACAAGGCCCAGAGCACTGGCAGGGTTTCACGGGCCTGGGGTTTGAAGGTATTGGGGTGCCCTGCAGAGCCTGCTCTCTGGTGGGCTCTCTGAGCCAGGAGGCGTGTGATGTTCTGAGGCCTCCTCGTTTCCACCAGCTTCTGCCTGTCTGCCCCTTCTCACCCTGTCACCACTGCCAGGGCCCTCTTTCACTCCAGCGGCCACCTAACCCATGGTTTGCCTTATTCCTCAGTTGCTGTTTTACCAGGAAGTCAGCCTTAAGGCTTTTCATTTCTCTGTCGTGCAGGCCCCAGGCGGGGGTGCTGGGCTGGCCTCTGAGGCAGTGTGGGGACTCCAGGTGCTGCCTGCTCTCCGTGGGGGTGGGCCCCAGGAGGCTCCTCCTCCCAGGAGGTCCCAGTTGCGGGTGGGGGGCACTGCTGTCAGCCCCAGTCCTTCCCAGTGAGCAGAGGAGGACCGCACACCTGAGCTCTAGGGAACACTGATCTCCACTCCCCCGGACCCCTCCCCCACCCACTCAGGGTGAGCCCCAGGTGCCCAGCCAGCCCCAACTCCAACAGCACCTCCTGTTCACATCCGCATGCCCCTCTTCCCAGGAAAAGGCCTGTGACGGGCCTCACCCCATGCCTCCCCTCCCACACCTGAGCACACCTTCTGCCAGGGCACCTGAAGGAAGAAGAGGCTTCCAGGTGACCTGTTTCAACCGAGTCCACTCTTCTGCCTGGTGTGTTGGGTTCAGTACTTTTCCAAAGTACCTTCTCCTCCCCAGTGCAACCCAGAAAGTGGCAGAAAAGTGGGCAGACAGGCAAGGAAAGAAGCCCTAGTCTCCCCAGAGGAGTCAGTGCCCTGGCCCCCGGCTTCCCACGGACGCTCCCAGGTTGTGCCAGGTTCAGCAGCTGGGCCCTGGACACGCCAGCATCCACCACCCACCCCCCTCCCCACACACTCACAGCCCTGAACCCCGCGGTCTCCTCTCAGGCCTGGGCTGCTGGAAGGGCATCCGGCAGTGGGTAAGCAGAGCTGCCTTCCCGTGAATGGCCCAGGGACGAAGGTCACTGGGAAACCCCGAGGTGGGAGACGGGAAGGAGCAAGGAACTGTTCTGGAACCTGGTCACAGAGCCTCCAGGAAGTGTCTGGTCTTCTCCCAGAGCCGTGGGCTCAGAGCCACCTGCATTCCAGGTGACCTCACTGGGGTGAGCCAAGGTCAAGGCAAGGGACAAAGGCCAAAGCGATGGTGGTGGTGGTGACTGAGGACGGAGGTCCTGCTGAACCACGCCGGGCTGGGGAGGGCAGTGCAGGCCACGTCCAGCAGACTTGGTGACCGGAGCCTTGGGGTGGGGTGGGGAGCCCCAGGCAGGGTCTGAGGGCCCATTGCACCGCACTTTTTAAAGGGCTGTGTTTGGAGGGCTCTGCGCCACAGGCTGGCAGTGAGTTCTGACATACTTTCCAACAAAAATAATTCTTAATTCCACAACAGACTGAAAAAATAAAAGGCCAGGGACGTGTGGGGTGGGGTTTGCAGGCGACTGGAAGATGCCTCTTGGAGGGCGCTGTCCTGAGGTCTGCATGCTCCAGGCGCACAGAGGGTCTGCAGAAGAGAAACCTGCTGAAATCTGCACCACCCCTTTTCCAGTTAAACTCTGGAGAACCAGCGCTGTGTAGACAGCGCTCGGCTCAATCAGGGACTTGGGTCAGCAGCTGCTTTCAACCTCAGAAATGCCCAGCCCACCAGCAGCTGCAGACACAGGGCCGTGGGCCACTTCCAGTGAAGGAGCTGCACTTATTTGGTTTGAACCACAGCGTCTTCTTAAAAAACTGACTTGCCAGCATTTAAAATCAGGATATTCCACCAAGAAACCCAGACTCGGTCTCCATGAAGTCTCAGAACCTTTGCTAGTGTGGCCTTCCCTTCTGCTGGGTGCCCTGCAGCCCCCTGTGTGCCAGCCCCCTCCAGGGTCTGTGAAGGAGAAACCCACGCCTGGGGACGAGGTGGCCTGTACCTGGGCCATGAGCAGCCGTACGTGTAACCCTGTGAGTCTCACAGAGGGCCCGGGGCAAGGCCAGGCTGCCCCAGCCAGAGTCCTGCCCTGGCCAGTGTTTCCCCTGCTGGAACTGTGAGCAGTGGTCTGTTGCCAGTCACAAGCTGGTTCCTGGAAAAGCTGATTCAGGTGACATTCAGGGAAGTGTGGAGGAGGGTGTGTCCTGTCAAATGCTCTAAAAGCACAGGGAGTGAGGGGCCCACCAGTGGACGTGCAACTTGCTGGCCTGAGCCTCACATCCCGAGGGTGGCCGTGTGGTCCCAGCACCTGCGCGCATGTGGCTGGCGGTGCTGGTGGGCGGCTCCAGGGGCTCTGGCCGAGCCTTGCTGCGTACCGGGGAGGAAGGCCTCAGACTGGGGAGCAGGCTGGGGAGCGTCACCTGGAAAATGGGCTGCATCTCCTGGGCTGGTGCGTTCCAGCCTGGCCTCGGCCTCCGCCCTGAGGGGAGGTGTGGGCCAGGCCGCAGGAGGCTGGATCTGTGTTCCCAGCTTGGGGAAAGGTTGTGACCTTTGCAGATTCTTGTAGCTTGAGGGCTGCACTTCCTCCCGGTGGTGCCTTCTGGAGAGAGGGTCCCGGCGGTGGAGGCGGGCCCGAAGCAGACCTGGATCTCATCCAGGGAGTTTGTTCGCTCCCGCTCAGCCTCGGATGGAGGCAGGTGTCCCCATGTATGAGGTTAAACACCGGCTGTCACTGTGTTTGCAGGGTGACTGACTTTCGCAGGGTGATGTCCACCCTTCAGCACTGTCCTGCACGTGGCTGGGTGGGAGGGCTGTCTGCTGCTCACGGGGGTGCCCAGGACATCAGAGCTGTGGGCTCCTGGACCTCCTCAGTCCTCCCGTCTCGGGGGGATGTGGGGCCCCGGCAGGGCCAGGCTGTGCTCCCCTCACCACACGCGCACACGGAGATGGGGCAGCCAGCCCAGCGGGGCTTCCTGGGGGCCCAGGATGCGAGGGACGGGATGGCCATACTCACTGTGGGCCAGGGGAGGCTTGGGAAGGAGCCACCTCTGAGGAAGAGGCAACAGATTGTAGTGAGAGCTTAGCCGGCAGGTCTCACACGTGCAGAACACGGTGCCTGCAGTGAAGCCCGTGGGCCAGGCTGCAGGCCTTGTCAGAGCTTTCAGGGTGCTCACGTGCGCACCATAGGACCTTTATCCAAACTCCGAATTCCTCTGACTGAGGACTGAATTCCTTGGACTGAGGACCCCTTTTACGCTGGGAGCTGCAGGCTGGTGGGGAGGGGAAGCTGACTGAGCTTGGGGAGACTCCAGGAAGGCGTGAGACCTCCGCCTCAAGCAGAGCAGAGGCCTCGTAGCAGGGCCCTCCCTGTGACTATGTTTAACACGTGCTCCCAGGATCCCTGGGAGTCTGATAGTCAGCTTCTCGGAGCTGCACGAGCTACGCCCCTTTCCACTGGGAGGATTCAGCCATGAAACCTCCTTCTGTCTTGTCATGTTCTCTCCAGGCAAACAAGGGAGCAGGAGACACCTCCCGACTTCTTCTACTTTTCTGACTACGAGAGGCACAATGCGGAGATCGCTGCCTTCCACCTGGACAGGTGAGCCCTCCCACAGGCACCCTGTGTCACTGGCACCACGCAGGTGCAGGCTGCTGTGAGCTGGCTGTCAGGAATAAGGGCCAGAAGACCCAGGGTGTCTGCTTCTCTGGAGAGACCCAAGGTCGCAAGTCCCACAGAACGGCCCTTCCCTTGGTGGCCCCGGGTCTGGGGTCACTCTGCGGAAGAGGACAGACTTCTTTTGGGCTCGGCGGGGCCCCTGGCTGCTGGGGAGGAGGGGAGGTTGGGGCCTGACAGAGGAGGGCAAGTCCATTCAGATCCGGTGGAGCAGACAGAGAGCACGAGGTGAGGACGCCTCTCCCGGTCCTTCCGCCAGGATCCTGGATTTCCGCCGGGTCCCTCCCGTGGCCGGCAGGCTGGTCAACATGACCAAGGAGATCCGAGACATCACGAGGGACAAGAAGCTGTGGAGAACCTTCTTCATCTCCCCAGGTGACCCCTCCCCAATGAGCTCCCTCTCCGGGTGACCCCCTCCCCAGGTGACCTCCTGCCCAATGAGCTCCCTCCCCGGGTGACCTCAGCTCCCTCCCCGGGTGACCTCTTTCCCCTGGTGACCAGGACCACCCCTACCCCATGAGCGGCCTGGCTTGGCGGCTGTGTGCGCGTCATCCTGGTTCGGCTGTCGTGCGTCACCCTGGCCTGGTGGCTGTGTGCGCGTCACCCTGGTTCAGCTGTCGTGCGTCACCCTGGCCCAGCGCCTGTGTGTGCATCACCCTGGTTCGGCTGTGTGCGCATCACCCTGGTTTCGGCTGTCGTGTGTCACCGTGGCCTGGCGCCTGTGTGCGCATCACCCTGGCCCAGCGGCTGTGTGCGCATCACCCTGGTTCGGCTGTCATGCGTCACCCTGGTTCGGTTGTCGCGCATCACCCTGGCGAGGCGTCTGTGTGCGCGTCACCCTGTTTTCGGCTGTTGCGTGTCACCCTGGTTCGGCTGTCGTGCGTCACCCTGGCCAGGCGCCTGTGTGCACGTCACCCTGCACCACGAGCCCTTAGTCTCAGAGCTGCCAGGTGGTCTCACTGTTCCCAATGCCACCCTTGGGCTGGGGTAGATGTTGCTACCAAAGGCTGAGGCGAACTCCCAGCCTCCTGGGAAGTCTTCTCCAGGTGGTGCAGCCAGAGTGGACCTCCGTCTTCTGGATGCCCCCAGATTAAAAACACCCCGTTAAAACCCTGCCGTGGCTCAGGACTCTGTGGGCAGGGCAGCCTCACTGTTCCTTGGAGGGTTGGCACTGCCCTGCCCTTGGGCCTGCCCACTCGAGGTGCACGAGGCCCCGACTCCATGGTGTCACCCTTCAGCGCATACACGGAGTTGTCTGCCCGCTTGTGTCAGATCTGACCCTTGGGGCTCCCTTTCTGACCACCCCCTTTTGGCCAGGTGTCACCTCCCGAGGCTGGACCACGAGGAACCCCTCCTACATCCTGGGGCTTTTGTCGCTTGTATTTCGTCTTGGAACATTTTGCATTGTCCCAGTGATGCTGGCACAGCGGAGTGGAGTGACCCAGCTGGGCCACCAAGACCCCACAGGGTGTGGCCCTGTTCCCCGACCCCCCAGGGACGCCTCAGCTGTGCCAGGCGCCTGCCCAGCCAGTTCACACAGACAGAATCCACACGAGGCCCTGCACTCGCCGAGTCTAAAGAATCGCTGGCCCAGAAGCCCCTTCCTTGTAGGTCAGCACACTTCTCGGCCTTGTGATGAGCTGGTCAGAACTCAGCCCTAGTTCCGTCAGGGGACGTCTTTGTCACCCACTGCTCAGGGTTCCTCCTTTCCGAGCCCATGGAGAGGAGAGCAGGATGGGATCCCCGAGGCAAGAGGGCTCCATCCCCTTTGAACGAGTGTCTGGCCCACGTGATGAAATCGAGGGCCAGGACGAGAGTGTTGTTGGGAGGGTCTCTGAGGTCCTCCCGTCTACCCTGCCTGGGCCCCGCCGGCCTGTGGGGGTGTGTGCCCACCTTGCTCACATCCAGGGGACACAGCCTCACCCAGTCCCCAGTGGCCACCCGTCTCCAGACCCCAGCTTTAAATGGTTTAGTTGCCACTTGGAATCTGAGTGGTGTCGCTACACCTGGCACGTCCTCACAGCAAAGGTGACCGGTCCACCCCTTGGGTCCCCTCCCAGCCCTGCGCCCTCCATACGGCCATAGCCCGCCTTCCGACCGGAAGGGGCTGCTTCCACTGGTCTCTCACCGGGGGGCGGGAGCACTGGGCTCTGTCTCTCCCGCCGTGGCATGACCCTTAGTCTCCAGTTCTGCAACCTGTCCAGTGTTTTCTCTTTCGTTTCTGAACCAGTTGATGAGCCCGAGCAGAAGGGACAAAATAACTTGTCGCAAGGAAGGGGAAGGACTGAAGTCTGAAATCTCAAGAAGTGGTCACGAATCAAGGAGTTTCTCTGCTGGATTTCCCTTCCTCTGGGGCCAGGGGCCCTAGCTGCGCCCCTGCCATGTTCCTAGAGCTGTGTTGTCTTACTGAGGTTTGTAAAGGAGCAAGGGCTCCTTTCCGCGGTCAGCAGACAGTCAGTTGTTAGTCTAGGCGGGTGATCTGAGATGCTGGCGTCCCGCCCCACCCTCGCCCCCGGGCGCACCCGGGCCCCGGTCTCCCTGGTCTCCTGAGCACCGGCAAATGCCGGCGTCCGCGGGCGCTGACACACCACCACCCCGCCCCGAGCCGCACCATCGCTCAGCCTGGTCAGTCCCAGAGGCAGGACTGTGGGGGCCCCAGCTCCCGGCCGCTCTCCTGGGCCTGTGGGTCCCTGCTTGGCGTCTGGGCCCCGCCTGGATGAGCTCCTGCACCCTGTCCTCGGAGCTGCCGGCTTCCGGCTCAGCTCCGCCTGCTGCCTCCGACACCCGCCCTCTCCGCCCAGACTGTTTCTATTCCCACCGCCTCTGCTCCGTCAGCCAGATTTCTCCCCGAGAGCCTTGGGAAGCGTTTGGTTTTCTCTTAAGCAGCAGCAGGCTAACAGGAACCAGCTTTGATCTCACTGTAGAAAATGAGGCCTGTTCAGATTCCGTTTGGAGCGTTTCTGCTTTGCTGGCGTTTCTGCGCCCGTCGGGGGTGTAGAAGCACAGTGGGAAGGCCGCAGAGGCAGTTTGCGGGAGGCCAGGCCACACCACCGCCTCCAGCCTCAGGGCCCTGAGTAGCCCTGCTCCGGGGTCCGTCAAGATCAGGGAGACGTGTGCAGCCCGCGGAAACTGGGGTGTCCGATGGGCTGAGAGGTGGGGGTGGCCGGCCAGCCGGGGGCAGCATCGGCGGGCCACAGTGTCAGGCGGGGGCAGCCGAGTGCCCGTCACCGCAGGACTGAGCGGGGCCCGCGGCTGAGCCTCTGGCTGCCGTGCGACACCTTTCTCCTGCTTTCCTGGAGACTCCGTCGCCACGTCTCTTATCCCGAGATCAGCCCGCATCCTCCTGCGCAGCTGTAGGCCATGGGTGGCGGGGTGCGCGGGGTGGGGGGGAGGCCGGTGAGGGGGTGCGGCAGATGGGGAGAGGGCGGTCGTGCACCCCCCAGCCTCTCCTGCCCCTCCCCGCCACTCAGCCACCTTTAAACCGGCTCTTCCCACGCTGGCCAGGGACCAGTGGGGTGGTCCCTGAGCCTCTGTCACTCTGCGGTTAGTGTCCAGACTCCCGCCGGGGGCCAGAGGGGTTCCCAGAGCTGACAAACCCCTCCCCAGCACCCCCGCCCCTTGTGACACCCCCCACACACCAACGGGGCGTCGGAGATGGGCAAGGACTCACCCCTCCCTCCAGCGAAGCCCCGAAGCATTCAGAGAGGTACCGGCCTGGATTCTCTGGGACCCTCAGGCTGGCAGGCTGGGACCCCCGATCCTCAGAGACCAGGGCCCTTCCCAGGGAGCCCTTCCCGTCTGAGTCCTCGGGTCCTCCCCACCGTCTGGCCTACTGCCCTGAGCTGCCCTGGGCGTCACAGTCAAGGGGAACGGGCACTGCCTCCCCAAGCCCAGCCTCTCCACACGCCGAGGCGGGCTGTGGGCCGCCCCCCTCTGCTCCCCCAGTCTGGAGCTGCACGGCGCCGTGTTCAGAGGCCGAGGCTCAGAGGAGTGAAGGCCCTGGCCCCGCACAGGGCTGCGGAGCCCCACCGTGACGGCCCGGTACAGGGTTTGGGTTTCTGACTCGGGAAAGGCTGTGGGCCCAGGAAATGCCTGTCTCTTCACATGACTCCGTCTAAAGCCAGCTTAGGCTTAGAGGTTACAGATACGAATTCCAGGGCTCGGAGAGGATTTTCCTCCTGAAAACGGGGCTGAGATTGAATCGTGTCGACACAAGAGACCTCAGGCTGAGCGGTCTTTGATCTGCCGGGTCTGTAGCAGTGGCTGCAGGATCCTGAGGTGCAGGGTGGGGCAGTCTTTGCTGTTGGCGGGGTGGGGGCTGGTGCGGAGGGGCCATGGGCTCAGGGCTTGTTTCCCCCTCAAACAAAGGCAGTGATGGTTCCGTAGGAAAACGCATGCACAGACATGCCTGCCGCCCAGCACAGGGGCGCTTCTCGAATCTCTCTCCTGTGGGGATACGACCCACACGTCTTAAGTCCAGTGTTTGAAGTTTGCAGTTCAGTGGTTTTTAGTGCATTCTCTGTGTTGTGCAACAGTCCCCACTGATTCCAGGATATTTGCTCACCCTGAAAGAAACCATCACTGTTCAAAGTCACCCCACCCTCCCCTCCCCTCTGCTCTGAGAGCCTGCAGCTTCTGTGTAGGTTTGTTCCCAGGGTCTCAAGTGCACAGTGTCTGGCTCTGTCTGTAATGTTCATGGTTCGTCCATGCGGTGTTCCGCTTCATTCCTTTTGTGGTAAATGCTGTTCCATGTTTCAGACGAGCCACGCTGACTCGGGACGGTCTGCTGGGAACATCTGTGTCTAGTGTCTGTGTGGGTGTGTGCCCGGGAGCTGGATGCCCGGGTCACTGGTTCTGTATCCAACTTTCTGACTGTTTTTCATAGCAGCTGCACCATTTGACATTCCCACCACGGCTGTATCAGGGTGCAGCCAATTTCTCCACACCCTCAACAACACTGGTTATTATCTGTTCTTTTGATCAAAACTGTCCTAGTGGGTGAGAAATTGTGAATTTGATTTGCATTTCCCTGATGACTCACGGTGCCCAGCATCTTTCCCTGTCCTTGTTGGCCATTTCTGTATTTTCTTTTGAGAAGCATCCTTGAATTGCTTTGCCCATTTACAGATTGGGTTATCTTTTTATTACTGAGACAGAAGGGTTCTTGTGCAAGTACTGGGCGCTTATTTGGTCACGATTGCAAGCATCTCCCCCACACTGCCTCACTTTGGAATGAGGGCCTTTTGCAAATGACTGAACAGAACCTCCACAGACCCCAGGCTTACTTTGGAGGGTGATGAGGAAGAACCCAGATTCCAATCTGAGCTCTGTGTCCCGAGCCATGTGGCCCTGTGGTCTGCAACACAGGGCTCGGGCAGGTGGCTGAAGTCCAGGGTGAGACCGCGGGAGGGCCCCGCCCGAGGAGGGATGAGTCGGACACAGTGCCGACTCGCAGACCCCACCCGAGGGCCCCAGCTGACTGCCCCCTCCACCCACAGCCAACAACATCTGCTTCTATGGGGAGTGCTCGTATTACTGCTCTACGGAGCACGCCCTGTGCGGGAAGCCGGACCAGATCGAGGGCTCGCTGGCCGCCTTCCTGCCCGACCTGTCCCTGGCCAAGAGGAAGACCTGGCGGAACCCCTGGCGACGCTCATACCACAAGCGCAAGAAGGCAGAGTGCGTTGGGGGCGCGCTGGGCCGGGGCCTCTGGAGTCCCACCTCCCCAGGGTCTCGGGAGGGCTGGCTTCTGCCCGACCTGCAGCAGAGAACGAGCCTGGGGTTAGCCGTCCATGCCAGACAGTGTGAGTGGCAACAGCTAGTGTGAGGCCGCCAATAATCAGAAAGGGCCCCTCACGCAGGAACTGGGGGCCAACTGCCCCCTGGGGTCTCTCCACAATTGGACGAGGCTTCAGATCCCTTCCCTTCTTGAGAGAGACACTGTTCCTCCAGCTATGGAGACATCCTTGCGAGTGTGCTGTCCCGGCCTGTCCACACACATGGCCTTCCGGTGGTGTGGCTCAGTCACCTTCTGGCCCCATGCTCCTATTGATGCAGACTCAGCCCACCGCGGGCAGCTGTCACTTACAGAGACTTCGCTCAGGGGTGACAGCTTTTCTCACTTGGGCCCCCTGGCTGCCCCGTGGATCCGCTGTGCTGAGCCGAGCAGCCCCAGGGGGTGGCTTGGGCCTCCTTGTCGTACAGAGGAGCCTGCCCTTCTGATGCCGGCTCCCCTGCAGGTGGGAAGTGGACCCTGACTACTGCGAGGAGGTGAAACAGACACCTCCCTACGACAGCAGCCACCGCATCTTGGATGTCATGGACATGACCATCTTCGACTTCCTCATGGGTACGTCCAGGGCCCCCAGCCTGCCCGGCGAATGCCCAGCTCAGGTCCAGCCACCGCGGTCTTGCTCGTACTCGGTGCTCCCCATGCAGAGGCCAGACGGGGAGGGAGGGCTCGCCTCCGAGCCTCACGCAGGCTCCCAGCAGGCCCGTCCCCACAGGAAACATGGACCGCCATCACTACGAGACCTTCGAGAAGTTCGGGAATGAGACATTTATCATCCACTTGGACAACGGGAGAGGGTGAGTCCTACCAGGCACCACGAGGGGCCGGCTGTCCCCTGGCCCAGACACACCCGGGGGGCAGGTGCTCCGTGGGAGAGATGGCCCGGCCTCTAAAGGCCCCTCGGGGTGACCCAGGGCCCTGGCCAGGGCTCCTGTGAGCTGTGGGACGGCCTCCAGAGCAGGCGTGTGTGCAGGGCTCAGGCCCCTCCGGCGGTCAGAGCTGCAGGTGCCCAGACGCCTCGGGGGAATCGGCTCTGGGCACCTGGGCACTCACTCCACCACTCCACCCCTGTGGCCGGAGCTGAGGCCGCCCTGCCTCGGCCTTGTCCACCCAGCCAGGCCGCGACCTGTCGCCGTCGAGCGTCTGCTTGGTCCAGCGGCCAGATGGCTTCTGTGCACCTGCCTCACCCCAGGCCCTGCATCTGGGGCTGGGGACAGCAGGATCCGGGCCCCCCACCCAGCCCAGGGGTCCTCGCGGCCTGGCAGCTCTGCGCACGTGTCCCCCGCCCACCCCCGAGCTCTGCCCTTCTTCCATCAGGTTTGGGAAGCACTCTCACGACGAGCTGTCCATCCTGGTGCCTCTACAGCAGTGCTGCAGGTACGGCCCTGCCCCTGCAGATGCCCCGGCCCAGCCCTCCCGCAGCCACAGGCCAGACTGAGCCTTCCCACCCCACCAGGTGGTGCCCCTCCCAGGACTCAGCTCCCTGTCCCCACAACGGCCCGCCCTCCATGCAGAAGCCGACACCGAGGCCCCCACTCTCCCCCCGAACCCAGCCCCTCCTTTTAACAACCAGGGAGACAGGCCGTAGGGCCCAGCCTCCTGCTTCGCGTCCCCCTGGCCCAGAGACTGAGCCGAGCCGTGGCTGCCTCCCGCCCCGCTCCTGCTGGAAAGGATGGAGCCTGCCGGACTCCACTGCAGGCAGGACCCTCCCCAGCGCCCCCGAGGCCCATCCGGAGCAGGGGTGAGGGCACAGGCAGGCTGCTCCTCCGGCGCCAGCCTGATCTCCATCTCCGGCAGGATCCGGAGGTCCACGTACCTGCGGCTGCAGCTCCTGGCCAAGGAGGAGCACCGGCTGAGCCTGCTGATGGCCGAGTCCCTGCGCGCGGACCGCGTAGCCCCCGTGCTGTTCCAGCCGCACCTGGAGGCGCTGGACCGGCGGCTGCGCATCGTGCTACGGGCGGTCAGGGACTGCGTGGAGAAGGACGGGCTGCACAGCGTCATGGAGGACGACCTGGGCCCCGAGCACAGAGCCGCAGCCGGAAGGTAGTGAACGCGGGCCGCAGCCAGGCCAGCCGCCCGGGACGTGAGCCTGCGTGGGCAGACGGCTGCCGGGACACGTGCCTCACTTCAGACCCGATCTGCCAGGGGCGCACGCAGACAGAGGCAGCCTGGTGGCGGGCCAGCACCCTTTTGTACGGAAAGGAAGCCTTTACTTACGATTTTGTATTTATACCTGGTGTAAATGTACATACATAGAGATGTTATCTGTACAGACCCTGACCACCCCACAGGTCACACATGGGGGCCACCTGGCCAGTCTAGATGGTCCTGAGAAGGGCTCCCACTCTGGACTGAGCTCGCAGTAGAAACTCTCCTCCCTTCCCGGGGCTACGGGAGGCTCCCGAGGCCCTCACAGACTCGCGTCAAGGGATGAACACCGCGTGGGTTTCGAAGTGAAGGACCAGCCGTCCCCCAGCTGCCGCGCTGACCTCACGGCACTGTCTGGAGCCGGTGCACATGTGACCGGTCATGAGGCTGGATACCTTCAAGGCATTTTCGTGGAATAGTTTGCAATGTGGTAAAAGTGCAATAAAGATTCAGCAAGTATGAGCTAGGGCCTCACTGGCATCTGCGTCCCTCAATTCCTGCTGCCCAGCAGCCTGTCCACCCTTGAGCATGGCCAGTGTCTGTCTTGGAAGAAGGGGCTGCCTGTCCCACACCTGGTGTGGTTGCTTCCAGGGAACTGAGTGCAGCTCCCCGAGTCTCTCCAGGGCTGGCATCACGTGGGCGCCGTGTTCACCCACAGGAGCTGGCATGCACTGGGGCTGAGCCGGGGTGGCCGGAGAAACCCAGCCCCCCAGGGCCCCACTGATGGATACAGGGGGTCAAAGCACCTCCTGCAGGCAGACCGGGCCCTGGAGGAGCCTGCCCACCGATGACTCACCTGAACCTCATGTTCTTCGAGCAGAGAAATCTCAGGCCCTGTGCCTTCACCAGCGTTTCCCCCCACCCCCCACCCCGTCCCCTAACTGTCCGGGCACACAGGTGGGGGCCACGAGGGGACTCAGGGAGGAGACGGCCACCCGCAAGCCGGGAGAGAGGACCCACCAGAAACCTGGCCTGGTCTCCAGCTCCCAGAACACAGAGAAGAGCCTGCGTCTAGACGCCCCGTCTGCGGTGTTCCGGTGCAGCGGCCTTTGAGCCCCGGTCCCGACCCAGAGCTTCCCCATCCACCAGAACTCCCTGAGCTGAAGACAGAAGGAGAAGGGAGCAGGGGAAGCCTGCTCTGGGGGTGGCAAGGGGGAGCAGGGACAAGGCTGTGGTGGTTACGTGTGTTTAAGTTCGTGCTCTCCCCAGTAAGAGTCTCTCCAGATCCAGAGTCACCCCTGCTTTGGGCGGAGAGGAACACTCGCAGAGAAAGATTCTCTCAGCCATGGAACGTCCCTTCCCAAAGGGCAATGTCCGCTCCGTTGTTCCTCAGAGTGATGGCCACGTCAAAGGGGCACACTTGGGGGACATGTCCTCCCCCCCAGAGGGGACGCAGCCTCAGAAAGGAGGCCCTGAGCTCCGCGGAGCTGCACCAGGGGCTCAGAGCTGGGCAGCAGGTAAGCCCTGGAGATAGCTTTGCTCAGCCTCAGTGCAGCTGGGACAAAGGGCCTCAGTCTGGGACTGGCTGGGAGCCCAGCACAGCCGGAGGTGGAGCTGGCCGGCCAAGGGGCAGGTTGGGGGCGGGTGGAAAATCACTCGGTCGGGAGCTCCCGGTGAAGGCGGGCTGGGGGTCTCCGGTCCACCTGAGTTAACAGGATTCTTGTGAAGAGTGGGTGCTGCACAGTCAGACCCTAGAGAAGCCTCACTGCAAGGGGCTCCCGAGGAGTCTGACGGACACCCATCCAGTAGGACAGTGTCTCGTCCCCTCACCACAGGGGGCACGGTCAGAGGCTCAGAGCTTGGGCAGGCCCATGAGGCCACCCCCCGGAAGCTGGGAAGTGAGACAGGACAGAGGACATGCAGTGAACTGACTGTGCACACACACCCTGAGGGCCCGCAGATGCTGCTTGGTGGGCTGGGGTGGGGAGGAAGTCAGGAAAAGGGGAACGGCAGGGGGGCCTGGCCCCCGGTGTGACGGTGAAAGGCACAGAGCGAGCTCAGGCCCAGGAAAAGCAGGACGGAGGAGCCCTCGTCAAAGTGAAGACAGGCCTAGGGACGGGTGACGTCTGGTGACGGTCACGCCAGGAAGGAAAGAACAGGACAGTCCGCTCAGCCGTGATGAGCTTCCCAGGCACGGCCACGTCAGCGCTCGGCGCTCTCTCCCTCAAAAGGAGAATGTGATGCAGCTGAACTGAAAGGCACTGGGGAGACCCAAGGCCTCTCTCAGACAGGAAGATGGGAGGTTAAAAAACAAACAAAAAAAAAGGGACGTAAAACGTGCAAAATAAAATGTTTGCCATTTAGAAACGTGGAGACAACGTGCAAACAAGACATGACAGCCCAGCACACCTGGGGAGACGAACACAAAGTGATCTCTCTGGGTCTTTGCTTCAGGAACCAGGGTGATGTGGGCAGGGGTCCATTCTTTTCCATGATCTGATCGATGTTATTTGACTTTCGAAACTGGATCCGTCTATTCTGTCACTTAGTTCTTAGGTCTTTCAGTCGTGTCCGACTCTTTGTGACCCCATGGACTGCAGCATGCCAGGCCTCCCTGTCCATCATAAAGTCCTGGGGTTTACTCAAACTCATATCCATTGAGTTGGTGATGCCATCCAACCATTTCATCCCTCTGTCATCCCCTTCTCCTCCCACCTTCAATCTTTCCCAGCATCAGGGTCTTTTCTAATGAGTCAGTTCTTCGTATCAGGTGGCCAAAGTGTTGGAGTTTCAGCTTCAGCATCAGTCCTCCAATGAATATTCCAATGATCTCCTTTAGGATGGACTGGTTTGATCTTGCAGTCCAAGGGACTCTCAAGAGTCTTCTCCAACACCACAGTTCAAAAGCATCAGTTCTTCAGCGCTCAGCTTTCTTTATGATCCAACTCTCACATCCACACATGACTACTGGAAAAACCATAGCTTTGACTAGACAGACGTTTGTTGGCAAATTAATGTCTCTGCTTTTTAATATGCTGTCTAGGTTGGTCATAGCTTTCCTTCCAAGGAGCAAGTGTCTTTTAATTTCATGGCTGCGGTCACTATCTGCAGTGATTTTGGAGCTCAAAAAATAAAGTTCCTCACTGTTTCCATCGTTTCCCCATCTATTTGCCATGAAGTGATGGGACTGGATGCCATGATCTTAGTTTTTGAATGTTGAGTTTTAAGCCAGCTTTTTCACTCTCCTTTTTCACTTTCATCAAGAGGCTCTTTAGTTCCTCTTTGCTTTCTGCCATAAGGGTGGTGTCATCTGCATATCTGAGGTTATTGATATTCCTCCCAGCAATCTTGATTCCAGCTTGTGCTTCATCCAGCCTGGCATTTCACATGATGTACTGTGCATATAAGTTAAATAAGCAGAGTGACAATATACAGCCTTGACCAATATACTCCTTTCCCAATTTGGAACCAGTCCGTTGTTCCATGTCTGGTTCTAACTATTGCTTCTTGACCTGCATACAGATTTCTCAAGAGGCAGGTAAGGTGGCGGTATTCCCATCTCTTTAAGAATTTTCCACAGATTGTGATCCACACAGTCAAAGGTTTTAGCATAGTCAATGAAGCAGAAATAGATGTTTTTCTGGAATTCTTTTGCTTTTTCTGTGATTCAAGGCATGTTGGCAATTTGATCTCTGGTTCCTCTGCCTTTTCTAAAACCAGCTTGAACATCTGGAAGTTCACAGTTCACATATTGAAGCCTGGCTTGGAGAATTTTGAGCATTACTTTGCTAGTGTGTGAGATGAGTGCAATTGTGCAGTAGTTTGAACATTCCTTGGCATTGCCTTTCTTTGGGATTGAAATGAAAACTGACCTTTTCCAGTCTTGTGAGTTTTCCAAATTTGTTGGCATACTGAGTGCAGCACTTTAACACCATCATCTTTTAGGATTTGAAATAGCTCATCTGGAATTCCATCACCTCCACTAGCTTTGTTTGTAGTGATGCCTAAGGCCCGCTTGACTGCATTCCAGGATGTCTGGCTCTAGGTGAGTGATCATACCATCACGGTTATCCAGGTCATTAAAATATTTTTTGTGAAGTTCTGTGTATTCTTGCCCCCTCTTCTTAGTATCTTCTGCTTCTGTTAGGTCCACCCCATTTCTGTCCTTTATTGGGCCCATCTTTGTTTTCCTCTATTTCTTTGCATTGATCGCTGAGGAAGGCTTTCTTATCTCTCCCTGCTATTTTGTGGAACTCTGCATTCAAATGGATATATCTTTCCTTTTCTCCTTTGCCTTTCGCTTCTCTTCTTTTCTCAGCTATTTGTAAGGCCTCCTCAGACAGCCATTTTGCCTTTTTGCATTTCTTTTTCTTAGGGATGGTCTTGATCACCACCTCCTGTACAATGTTATGAACCTCTGTCCATAGTTCATCAGGCACTCTGTCTATCAGATCTAATCCCTCAAATCTATTTCTCACTTCCACTGTATAATCATAAGGGATAAGATTTAGGTCATCCCTGAATGGTCTAGTGATTTTCCCTACTTTCTTCAACTTAAGTCTGAATTTGGCAATAAGGGGTTCATGATCTGAGCCACAGTCTGTCTATTACTTTGATACAGATTCAAAAGCAGATAAAGCTGCTGGACGGGAGGAGAGGTGGGGGCAGGGCTGAGCCGTGAGCCGGGTGAGGGCCCCCTGCCTGGTCCTGGATGCATCTCAGCGCGGCTGTGTGGGAACCTGAATTCCGATGTGCCCAGTTCACCATCTGAACCGGTGCCCAGCCGGGCGAGGGGACTTTCCCTAATTATCGCGGGAGTGCCTGGTGCCTGGGACTCAGACTGCTGTGGGGGGCCAGGGTGGCGGAGGACACGAACAGGCTGGGAGAGGCTTCCAGTTAAATCCTTCCCTGGGAAGCTGGCTTCCCCTCAAGATTTGGGCTGCGTGCTTGGTCACAAGTGTTACAGGACAGCGCCTGCCACAGGGCCACAGAGAAAGTGGCAAGAAGTAAAGCACGATTGAAAAAACAAATGGGGGGAAATCCAAACAAAAGCCCTCCTTGGTCAGCCTAAGAGCTGGTTATGTAGAATCAGGGGGCAGGAGCTGGAGGCCGTCTGAGGGCAGAGAGCACTTCCTGAATTAAGCAGGTGAGTGGACAAGTCAGCCAGTGCCTGGGTGGGAGGCACGCGCAGCCCCTGCCCCCTGGGTCTGAGGGATGCAGGGTGTCAGTGCGGCTGCAGAGATGCAGGTGGGGGACTCAGCATCTCTCCCAGCCCCCACCCACAAGCCCGAGACAGACAGAGGACAAGGAGGCCCCTGGTGGACCCCGGCCCTGCCCAGAGCCTCCCCACCTGGGAGCAGGTCAAGTGTGCAATTCTTGGGACCAGCCCCCAAAGGCCACACCCAGAGGTGCAGGCTGCTGGATTAAGGGGCCCCCAGGCTCCCCTCCCAGGGTCCTGCACAGTCCCCCCGAGAAACTCTCCCTCAACCCACTGCCCCAGCCCTCACCCAGACAGAACGGGACAGAAGCAGAGG